AGAGAGAGAGAGAGAGAGAGAGAGAGAGAGAGAGAGAGAGAGAGAGAGAGAGAGAGAGAGAGAAGCGCAAAGCCAGCCACAGGGCAACACACAACAGAAAACAGCACACAATCAGTCAGAGGTTCAGGGCCGATTGTAACGCTGCAGCCAAGTCAATGTGAGACAACGATAAGATGCATGACGTTCATGCTGTCGAATAGACTGTCAGACTGTGTCTGTAAAACTGAAGGGGGCTGTGATCAGTGTGACGGTAAACATGAAAAAAAGAAAAAAAAAGTGTGGTGGCGAACAAGGACAAGGCAGGACATTAAAGAAAAGAAAAAAGGACAAGGCAGGACATTAAAAAAAAAAAAAAGGACAAGGCAGGACTTGAACGTTTGTAGGAAAGCGTCTGCTGAACAAATCTTATGCATTCACACAAGGAACAACCGTCTTACCCCGAACAGAACACACCCTGATCAAGAATGTATACAAGCTATCTTTTCTGTCTTTTCACAACTTTTCAGTCCAATACACTGAATACAGTCATGATGAGACTGCACAACGTTTGGGGGACAATTGTAGCAAATAAAATGGAACCCAAAAAAAGAAAACAAGAAGTATGATTGGATAAGATGCTGCATGAGACGGTGACAGGCAAACATAGGTGTTATGAGGCTTGAGGAGCTGCTAGGGGACCCCCCCCCCTTCCCTGTCCTGTCATCCGGGAGGCTGCCCTGCTGTGTGACTGGGTGCTGCTAGAAAGCTTCCTGACCAGCAGGGCATCCCCCCCCCCCCCTCAGGGATTGGGGGGAGGGATGCCCTGTAGCAGGTCCCCCCTTGTAGGCGGCTAGGGCCGCAAGGCCAGCAAGGGAAAGGCTGACTCTTTCACTCGTATTCTCCCCCTTTTTTTTTGGATCAAGTTGGATGTACAAACATGCTTGCCGGTGATAAGCAACCGGACTGTTTCCCCCCAGAATAGAAAAGGGGCCTGTGGAGGGGGGAGGGGAAAAAAAAAAAAAAAAATCAAATACCTCATCTGTAGCTGGACAATCCGAATCCGACAACTGTGATTGGCCTTCAATCACTGCCTTCTTTTCACTAGGTCCTTCCTTTTCAAGCACCTGAGGACAAGGATCGCTGTCGCGCTTCTCCTGGTGTGTTTTCTCCGCGTCCACAGAGTCAGGCAGAACCTCCTCGGCCTTCTGTGGATAGAGTCGTGACCAGGTCATGGACAGAGCCTTTCGCATTTCATCCACCTGTTCCTTCACAATCATAACCTTTTCACTCCATCCATCTCTTTCAAACTCCATAAGACGCAGCCTCTCGCGTGCATCGTCGATTTCTCTTTCCTTCGTCTTCAGTGATTCTCTGAGCTCCTGAATCTCTTGTTTCCTCCGGCTGTCCTCTTCCTTTCTGTACTCGTCAACTTTCTGCAAGCAAATCAGTAGTTCTTCTAGCCGGCTTCTCAGGTTACAGACCTCCTGCTCCGCCCTCTCTACCCTCGCCTCCCAATCTCTCTCCTCCTGTCCGCCGTCCATGGGCACTGCGTCTTCCTGTTCCTCATCGGCGTCGTTCACTTGTGTCTCTGTGTTGATCCCGAGACCTCGCTCCCACTCAATTTTGAGGATCAGTTGCTTCATCTGAACCACCTCCTCCTCGACCTTCTCCACTCTCGCTTTCCACTTCTCCAGACCGGCTCTCTCTATCTTTTCCCGTAAACCTCTCACTTCGGTCTCCTTCTTTTGCAGCCAGCGTCTGAATCCTTCCAGCTCTGCATTTCTTTCCTCCTCCTCTTTCCTCTTCTTCCACTCAGAAACCTGTCTCTCTCTCTCCCAATCCTCCATTCTCACCCTCAGCTCCACGGCTTCCTGGTTCATCTTTCTCGCTTCGTCTTTCCAGCTTTCTCTCTGCTCCTTCACCCGATCTAGTTCCTCCTTTACTTCATCCACCTCCTTCTCCTTCTCCTCCAGCCACCCGCGAAGCTGCTCCATCTCTGCCTGTGCCGCCTGATCCCTCTCCGCATCGCCCCATTCCGACTCCCTCGCCAACTGCTCCAACTTCTTTTGCAATCGCTCAATTCCTTCCTCGCCCCTCTCTGCTCGTTCCCGCCATCTCTTTCGCTCCTCTTCTCCCTTTCGCAACACCAACACTAGCTTTTCCAGCTCCTCCTCCCTTGAACTCAACTTCGCGCTTATGTCGTTTATCTGACAACATATCCTGCGCCTTTCCCTCTCCGAGTCCGCGAGCTTTGCCTCCACGTCCTCGACCACCTGCTCTTTCTCGTCCAACTTCGTCTTTATCTCCTCGACTTTCGTCGCCAGCTTCTGCTTCTCTTGCTCACAAACCCAGATCTCAGTAATCAGTTCTTCCACCTCCCTTTCCTTTTGCTCCACCATATTCTTCGTGTCCGCCAACTCCATTTCGAGTCGCTTGACTTCGTCCTCGTTCTTTCGCCATAGCTCCACCATCTCCATGAACTCTCTCTGTTTGCTATCCAACCGGTCTTTCACCGCTTCCATTTCCGCACGAATCGATTGGTCCTCGGCTTGCCGCTTAGCGAGCTGCCCCTCCATGCCAGCGAGCTCCCTCCCTTTCTCCTCCAGCTTTTCCTTCAAGGAGTCGATATCAAGCGTCATCGCTTGCAGACCTTCCTCCCACATATCCCTCTCTCTCTTTAACGACTGCAGCTCGGACACAAGTCGTTCAACCTGTCGTTGATGAAGAGCACACTCGGCTTGTGCGACTGCCAGCTCGGAACTCACCCGCTCCTTCTCCATCTCTTCTTCCATCACCCTTTCTTCGAGAACCTTTTTCGATTTTTTTCGCTTGCTGAATTTCAGAAGACTACTAGTAGCCCAGTGAGTCTTCTTTCCTGCTTTCTCACCGGTATCCATGGCCTTGCTTGACTTCAAGTCGATGCCACACTCAAGAAACTTGGCCCGCAGGTCCTTCATAATGCGCAATTAATCACAACAGAAAGAACAAACACGAATCCCAGACATCTGTCAGACGACCTCTGACTTCGAATCACCCCAGAGCACCGGGATGGCAATCACACTCCATCCAATGCAAATGCCCCCACAGCGCAGACTCTCGTTTCTCTCCATGGCATGGACACGAGCATCACCATGGAAATGGGTGAATCGAATATAAAGATTGACAGGGGGGAAGCGAGATGGAAGGAATGGAGGGAGACAGATGAGTAGGGCAAGAGAGAGAGAGAGAGAGAGAGAGACCTGTCTCTTATACACATCTAGATGTGTATAAGAGACAGGGTTCTTAAGGGTTGTCCTGGGTCTGTGGGTCG